CCTTGAATAAAACCCAAGGACCTTAGTCTGGCCTATAAGATCTTGCATAGTCTAAGGCTTGTTTTCCTCCTTCCTTACTCAGGCCAGTCTCCTCCTTGACACAGAACTTTTCTTCAGTTTCTTCCCAAGGCTTTGATCAGTACCTTCTTTCCTGGCTTTTTTCCGGCTCTCTCTTCTTCATCATTCAGGTTTTAGTTTAAATGTCTCATTCTTAATAAGTCCTCCTTGACCCATTCTCACTAAAAAAATGCTCTCTTCCATCCTATCCCACTTCTCTTACTGTTTAGCTCATGCATTCTGTCTGCTTTTGAGTAAATCTTCCCATTTGGCAATTACATGTTTACTGGTTGTCTGTCTTTGAGGACACTGTAAACTGAGTGAGGACAGAGATTATATACATTTCAGTACTCACGTCTACAAACAATACCTAGCACAAGTTCTATACTTAATAATTACTTGAATAAGGTAATACCTCAGCTAGAAATGGACAATGTGGTGAAAATGACTGACCTTTATGTAGTCTTGCTTTATGGAAAATTTCTGAGTTACGTCAAAACTTTATTCAAGGTGGTAAATAACAAAAATAAGCCAAATTATTTTATTAGTAAAATACACATAAAGTTAGTCTACCAAATTTCTACAAAGCATTCTGAACAGTTTTTGTCAACATCCATACTTATCTTGTTGAAGATCAATAATAACCAATTTGAAGATGAGTACCAAACAATTTGAGTCTAGCTAGCACTGGGTGGAGAACAGCAGTTTGTGTGGTAGGAGGTGATTACGCCGTCCTCCTTCCACTCGGGGTTGGTTTAAGGCAGTCTGTGTCAAAGCATAACTGTTCTGTGCTGGGTAGAACTAACTTACTGAAAGGGCAGTGAGCACCCCATTCCTAGGACACTAAATACTAGTGGGATCGCCCTTACCAATTGCTATTCAAACCAACACCCTGCCTCCCTCCTATTTCCATTTCTAGCTACCGGGGGAAGAGTCAATAATGTCCTAATTGGGCACCACTGAGGGAAGGGGTTCTCCCAGCCCCTTCACGATTTCAGAGCAGGCCTTCTGCCGTCGGCCGGAGGAGGACTTAGTACCTATGCAGGAATACTAAGCAGCTGTGGTCATGAATGTAAATTGGAAGGTGGGAAAAAAATGTTTTCCCAAGCTAAGTCTATTATTTTTGTTTCCCACATGTTTACTGGGTTTTGAAGGGGATGACAGTGGTGAGAAAAAGTCAAATATTGCCTCTGGGACATTACAGAGAAACCAATCAGTTGTTGAGATTTACATTTCTGGCTGCGTTATTGCCCCCCCCGCCTTTTCCTTGTGGCACTGGGGATTGAATCAGGGCCTTTGCACTGAGCTTCCTCCTCAGCGCCCTGCCCCCTTTCCACTTTTTTTGAGACAGGGTCTTGCTTTGTCACTAAACTGCCTGGGCTGAGCTTGAATTTGCATTTCTCCTGCTTCAGTCTCCCAGAGTATTGAGCTAGTCTTTTATCAGACTGCTGGACACATTACATCCATCCCACCTAGCTTCTCTTAACTGTCCTAACTCATTCTCTTGCCATAAAATGTTTTGCCTTATTGCTCTGCGTCCCCTCTGCTCCTGCATCCTTGTTCCTCAGGGCGTTTTACTGACCTCATCCACACAGTGCGGCACCGTGACTGCACATAAGTAAAAGGGTAGGAATGAATAGTGGCAAAGCTGTGATGTAGGAAATTTTCCTCCCACACTGGACATGTAAGTAGAAAAGAATATGTGTAAAAGTCATACTGATCATTATCCGGTTCTTCTGACTTGCCAAGATACCAAGTTTATTCCCCAGGTATCATGCTTTAGCGCATTAGTATGTAAGAAGTTTGTACCAGGACATGGTGGTACATTCATTCTGAGAGGACTGCAAGTTAGAGCCCAGCCTGGGCAATTTAGTGACTTAGCAAGACTCTGCCTCAAAGTAAAATAGAAAGAGGGACAGAGAGCTAAGTGCAAAGGCCCTGGGTACAACTCCTAGTACTGCAAAATAAAGTTACTTGTGTCATTTCAGGAATACCTAAGCTAACTAAATCAGGTATACATTTCTATACCTGGTAGCAGCAGAAATACTTCTACATCTTTCATTGAAGGGGAGCTTAATATTCTACTTATGTCAAAGTTTTCCAATTGTCTTCCTGAAGATAAGAGATCTGACATAACTTGTTCATTCTGTGTGACTATTGGTGTACCAGAAGGCAGGTGAATGCCTTAGGCTGAATTTCTCCACAAATATGGCCTACCATATGTCTCAGACAAGTTCGATTCTATCCCAGTTCAGTCCTAACTCTAGTTGAGTTGAAGTTTAAATAAACTTCCGTATCTTTTAAAGCCATACAAGTTTCTAACACAAACAGCAATCACCCTTTATTCTGGAAACAGTCCGTTTCAACCCATTTATCTCAAGGCTCCTCAACCAACCAACGTATATTTGAATCTCTAAATTGAACTGGTCCTCAAGACTCTTCCAACTGGGAATAACTTGTGCTTCAACTGAACTTCTGGGCAGGACTTTACAGACTTCAGCTTTTAGCACTGGAATGACTACAAGGCTAGGACTTTGGTTTGAGGCATGAATGAAGTTAGCTAAAGCTATTTATCTTGAAATTTCAAATGTTCTGGCAGAGTAAAGCTCCTTTCATGTTTCCTTTTCTTTTGCTCTCTTTTCTTTATAAACTCAGAATGTAGTTTATACTGTTAGAAAGGTGCTGGATTTATAAGAAAGAGTGACTCTTACATCAGGTACACTGGTGTGTGCCTGTAATTCCAGCTACCCGGGTTGCTGAGGCAGAAGGACTGTGTGATCCAGGCGAGGGTGGGTAGCAGGGAGATCACATCTCAAAAAAGCGGTGATTCAAGAAAATAGGGAAGAGAGAGGGCTTGTATGCTTAGCTGCAGCTACCTCTATCTTAAAGTTTAGGAACTCCAGTGGGAATTACTAGCACTGTTTTTTGAGTTGTTTTTGAATTAAAAAAATATATAGGGGGTGGAGTGAACACAGATTTAGGACCAAAGCTACTGGTAATGGATGTTACATAGTTTTTCCAATTTTAACTCTTTGTCAGAAGTTAATTTTTTAAGGGAAGACTTTAACTTGTTGCTCTGCTTTAACACTACAGAAAAATCTGGGTGGGAAGATACAGAATATACTTTCAGGCTTCAGTACTATTTCTTGTTATTCCAGTTATTCCACTTACTCCGGTTTCACAATACAAGAAATATTGAAGTGATGTAGTGATAACACCATAATGGAGCCTGATCCAAGGTAAAACTGCCATCCAATTCTTCAATGAACTGAAGTGGTTCTTATTTAAAGTACACTTCCATTCCAGTACTGCTACTGGCAACTCTTAGCGTACAGAATGAAAGGTTTACACATATTCTAACCGGATCATAAAGTCGAGGGAACTACGTGGGATCACTCGGACAACCTGAGTGTATGTGAACACCAGCCTGGGACGTTGTTGCACAACACGGGTCAAATTCTGAGCGCTACCACTTGAGAACTGGGAATCTTGGAGAGAGTTTAAAGAGCCACAGTGATTATTAATAGTCTTGACAAGCTGTAGAAATGGCCAGATAATTACAGGATGAATTTAATAAACAAAAATATAGACTAATTTAGAGGAAGAGCAACACCCCCCCAAAAAAAAACCCAGTATAAACACAAGTGGCTTTGTGGAATAATGTGGGAATCAGTAAATCCTAAGTAAAACATGAATGAGCCATATCGTGCAGTTGGTTTTATTTCTAGAAAGTCCAGGAATTTGTACATTACATGTAAGGGTATGTTTAACAAAAAAGACAGCCATTCTCTAGTCATTTATACGCTCATTAAGCACTTTCGTGCCTGACACTTGTGGGTGCTGGCGTAAGACAGGGAAGACACCTACCTTCCGCTAAGTGTAAATGACGGAGCTACTAACTCCAAGTCTTTAGTCCGCACTATGCAGCTGATTTACAGCAAGCTCCCTGCGCTCCTTGAGGAACGGATCCTCGTCTTACATTTTAGACCCCATTTCGTGTCTAACACGGTACTCACAAGCAATCAACGTGCGTCAAGGAGTAACAACGGGGCCTACAAGAGTTCATCTGGAGAAAGTAAACACTTGTCTCACCATCCACTACGTCGATCGAAATCTGCATTTTTTTCCTCCAAAGCGCACTACATTCTCGCGAACGCATTACGTGCAGCGCAGCGCTCAACACAATGCCTTGAGCGCGAGCGGCGCGACAGCGCGGGCCCGGCTCCGCCAGGGCTGCTGCGGACACCGCGCCCCGCGAGAGGGC